ATAATATCCTAGAGAGAAACACAAGTAATAGATGATAATATCCTAGAGAGAAACACGGGTAACAGATGATAATATCCTAGAGAGAAACACGGGTAACAGATGATAATATCCTAGAGAGAAACACGGGTAATAGATGATAATATCCTAGAGAGAAACACGGTAATAGATGATAATATCCTAGAGAGAAACACAGGTAATAGATGATAATATCCTAGAGAGAAACACAGGTAATAGATAATAATATCCTAGAGAGAAACACAGGTAACAGATGATAATATCCTAGAGAGAAACACATGTAATAGATGATAATATCCTAGAGAGAAATACGTGTAACAGATGATAATATCCTAGAGAGAAACACGTGTAATAGATGATAATATCCTAGAGAGAAACACAGGTAAAAGATGATAATATCCTAGAGAGAAACACAGGTAATAGATGATAATATCCAAGAGAGAAACACAGGTAATAGATGATAATATCCTAGAGAGAAACACATGTAATAGATGATAATATCCTAGAGAGAAACACGTGTAATAGATGATAATATCCTAGAGAGAAACACGTGTAATAGATGATAATATCCTAGAGAGAAACACAGGTAATAGATGATAATATCCTAGAGAGAAACACGGGTAACAGATGATAATATCCTAGAGAGAAACACACTTAATATATAATTACAGGATGAGTCATCAAGTTATTTAATATTTGGATGGTGGTCGAGAAGTTGATTCAATGTTTTGAAGATATTTATATACGACGCTTTATTGTTTTGTAAAAACAAAAAAAAACAGGTTACCTATGATACAGCTTGCCAGATTAATACGATATTCAAGTATCACGTAAAGCTTAGTTAACAAATACAAATTACTTAATAATGCTTGCTCCAGAAAAGGTCTGTAATCAACTGTTTGATGTACAGGGTGTTGCAAAATATTGAGGGGGCATCTTTTAAGTTGGGAAATAGTTTACACAAAGAACCGTGAATCTAGCGAAGGACACACTCAGCAAACAGTCACTACGATCAGGCCACACACACACACACCTCTAAGGGGAGGGGATCTACTTCAGCAGCCTTAACCGGCAGACATTGACGTCAGACACACCGTGGAATCCTGGGTAGCGCGAGCACTATCGAATCGACTTGCGCTCAAACAACAGCCAGTTGAAAACAACCTTTGCGCGAGACCTGGATCGTACGTTGGATGGTGTTACAAGACGGCAACATAACACAGTTCGTGCTCGGCGGTAATGGAACTCTCTTCAGTAGGCGAGCGTGTTTTTGCCGCAGAATGCATACAGAAAAAGCGAATAAGAAAGGTTAGCGACACTTACCGGAGTTTTTCTCAATTGTTTCGTCATAGAAAAGTGTTGAAATGAGTAATGCTTATTTATTTTTCTCTGTCTCCTCAGGGTCGAGTCGAATACTTAGTCAAGTGGAAGGGATGGAGCCCGAAGTAAGTATATATGTTTCCTTTTCTAGCGTTAAATAAACCCGATCGTTAAATTCACTGTAAGTTACGAGATGATATACAATATCCACTTCTAATCTTTTGTTGTTGTTTTTTTTTAATTCTTGCACCCAGATACAACACTTGGGAGCCAGAAGAAAACATTTTAGATGTACGGCTACTTGAAGCTTTCGAAGCAAGGTTAGTGTTAAGCCACTTATACAAGATGGCGCGACTCGTGTGTGGTGCGCCTGCGCTTCGTTCGCAGCGAAATACAGCGCTACCGGTATTTAGTGCAAGAGTTTACAAGGAAATACATTTCTGTCGTTTCATCGGTACATTGATATAATTATAACGTTCCTGTTTCATTGTTAACACATATCGAGACTAAGTTCTTTTTTTTTTTTGAAAGTTCGGGAATTACTGTATTTTAGAAGTTAATGTTGATATACTCTCGTCTGACGAGTTGTGTTGGCACGTTCCGTTTATGTGCGTGTTAGAAGTTTGACGTTCGTATTACGTGCTGTTCGTTTATGTTGATTAACATTGTGTCGACTTAGAAAGTTTCTTGCCATGTTAATGAGTTGTTTGTATTTGGTCGAAGATATTATTTGTGTTAGTTGCCCATACACAGATGAAATAACTTTTTATTGGTCAAATTTTTAATATTCTACGTTAATCGTATTAGTGTCCAGCTTTGATGAACTGGTCATCACTATTATTTTTGATAAATGTTTAATAGTTTTACAATGTTCGTTTTACAGTCAAAGAGAAAGAGAGATAAACCCAGGAAAAAGGGGTCCTAAGCCTAAAAAAGAACGAAGTTCGGTAAGTGACTGTTACTTTTATTAGATTTTATTGGACTGTGACTTTTATTTTATTAAATTCAGTTTTAATTATAGATAAAAAAAAATCTGGCTCTATAATTTTAGAACGATTGATTGTTGAAATAACAATAAAACGTATACACTAGATTGTTGAAATAACAATAAAACGAATACACTAGATTGTTGAAATAACAATAAAACGAATACACTAGATTGTTGAAATAACAATAAAA